CGCAATTTCTTCCATCGTCTTATATGTCATTTCCTGAAATTGTAGTTATTCATTTCCTGTTGCAAGGAGGCGCACCAATTCTTGCCTCTTATGATAATATCTGGATATCCACTGTTCATGCGATTAGCAATACGTCCGAAGTTCATTTCCGCAGTACTACTTGATTCTTTTCGAAAGGAACTGATACGTCGCTGGATTTTACTTGAATTAGTTTCATTATTATTATCATGGAACGCTAAAATGCGAACTATCGAAATATATCCGGATCACCCCATTTGTTTCTCGCAGTCCGTAACGAAGAGGGACTCCTCTTGCGGCGGTATATAGTATGGAAGGCACGAGGAGCCATTGCGGGCGGCTGTTCATTAGTTTGCGGGGGAGGTGGCGGCGCCGGGGCGGGAGCGGGATCCGGGGAACTGTGCTTCTTCGGCTTGACCAGTAGAACGATAAACAGGCCTGCGACTATGATCACCAGCAGGAGCATGATCTTGCGCTTCACTGTACGTCGTTGGTAGTTCGTAGCCTACAAGATGCAGATTGGTTAGTGGAAACTTAACTTCGGGTGGCTGCACCGGACGCAAACGTACCACTTTCAACTCTTTATCCGCGGCCTTGACCTCCGTGCCCATCCGCTCAATATTATAGTCTATCCGATCCAGCATAGTACCCTGGTCGATAACCATAGACTGCAACTCACGGAAAATATCCGACAGCTCGATAATTCCTTTCGCGATGTCGTTGATTTCCCGCTCCCGCTGTTCAATGGCGGCATCGTTCTGGCCCGTCAGTCGTTGAGACGTTTGCAGTAGTGTAGATTGCGAGAACGACTTGTCCGCATCGGATTCCATTAGCGACGGGTCTGTGTATGGATTCTGCATCGGTGTCGGGGACCGTTCAAATGGCGCTGATCCGCCCTCCAATCCTCGTAATTCTACCAGGCAACTCGGTTAGCTCAACAAACAGACGCAGCTGAGCCCAGGATAAACTCACTCTTCAAATAGGTACTCTGTTTCTTCCGAAACCGAGCACTAGCCTCTTGAACCCTAGCAGCAAGAGATATCTGCAAGTTCTTGGCCATAGTTTCATCGCCGCTGCTAACTCCACCCTGTTGTTGGGCTTCCCGTACCATCGTCTCAATCTTCTTTACCGCTTTCTGGCATTCATGGAAGGCGCGCGTGATGTCCTGCGTTAGCCGCTCTATAACTACCTCGTCTTGCTTTCGTACGTCCTCGTCTCCGAATCCAGGTAGAAGATGTTTCTGGTGTAGCTTATCGAGGTGGGAGGACTTCTGCGCAATGTCCGCAAGTAGCTCCGTCACTTCCTCCTGTACGTCGACCCAGCGCGGGGGCAAAACGTCCATCTCAATGATTGCATCGCCATCATCGTCGAGTCCTCCTGTTTCTGAAATAAGTCGTCGGCTCTCCTCGGGCTGCGATAGGCTATCCGAGAAGCCATTGGACGCTCCGAGATAACGTGGCTTCTTGGCTGGATGATGCGCGAACGACTGGCGGTAGGAAATGTAGCTGTTTTGAGAATAGTTGTTAGTTTCTTATCTTCGCTATCCACCATAGCTTAGCCCGGGATGCATTACAGGTTGGTACGGTCCCGCCACATTGTGAAGGATAGGTAGAGAGGGTTGATGGTCTGCGGTGATCCTTCGTCGGGGACACTCTTAGGCCACCCTGATCATGGTCCGGCCAGGGATGTGGTTAGAATGAATAGCGAGATTCAAGTCACAATAGGCTCAGAGCAGAATATCCGGACATATGGTATGGCAGCGAGGTGTATAGGCCGTTTCCGCGTCGTAGAATTGAGTGTCGTTGGGTGTATTCGATAGGACCGCTGTACTTCCCGGAGCTCCCCATCTCCATGTTGCACATGAAGGGACGGCCGCACCAATCCGAATGCGGTATCAGCCGCGCCGATCTAAATTCATTACGTCAGCCACGATGCTCTGAGATGATGCCTGAGTAATTATGCGAGATTATGCATCTCGATCGTTTTGGTCATGTTCGGAAGACGATGTCCTGAATGAGGGTAAGAGGTCCGTCATGGGCGACAGATAATGTGGTATTGCTGTCTACGTTCCATGGATTACAAACCATAGCTCATTGCCCACAAGAGTACTGTTGCGCTGTTTCAGAATCTCGTCGATGCTACTTGGCTACTGGAGCATTGTGAGACAAGAGGGACGGCTTGTATCTTCCATCTTCGATATGATACTTCGTAGTAATTGGTGAAATTGGCTACTTTGGTCATGCATCTTACGGACACATCTAGGGAGAGCTGAAAGGGCAGGCATTTCCTAGGAGTCAAGCTCGGATGTTAAGATGTTGCTAGGAGTATATAGTAGTCGGGTTGGATGCCTTTTATGTGACGAGATGTGGACCGCTAGTACTAAGGAGTAGACGCATCAATAACTGGATAGCTGCAATGGGGCTATTTCATGTGCATGTTTTTTTCTGGTTGTGACAAGCAGCTTTGGCAGGCCTAACAGGAGAAATCGTGATCGGAAGTTAATTCAGCTGCAGGGCTCTAGCCTGACTATCGCAAACTTCGCGCGACGATAATGTCGGCAATAGAAGTTGTCACTTTCCGACTGTGCTTGGTTACAGAGCATGCCAAGCCCAGATAACATGCGTATCTACTCCGGATATATGCCGCCATGAGGAACAACTTATGGTTCTGATTGCGAACGTCTTTACCAAAGCTGTAGAAGTCGCAGGGAATGGAGAAGAGTTATCCTCTGCTTGGTGGTTGCAAGACTGAATACTCAGGTACAGAAGTGTCCCATATCAAGGTTCCAGGGTATAGAGTCTGAACAAGGTTCGTCCTGGTGAAAAGCAGGCGGGACTTGTTGCCTTCAAGCTTTGGTACTGCCGGGATCCACGGCTGGTCGTCAGCAACTGGCCAGAGGGCGCCTACTTACAGATTACATGCAAGGCTGCGCTCAACTTGCAGCCGTTCAAGCGATTGTATTTAGGCAACGGGCATTTTCATAAGGCAGATATGACAGGACGCAGTTAGCCTGCAGCAGCTGAAGAAAAAGCAACCATCCAAAGCATGGAGAGGGGCGCGCAGAAGGAGGCGAGTTGAGTGACGGGCGGGCAGGACAGAACAGCGATTCCAGGCGCAGAGGGCACATGGTGGCCAGGGCGGGTCACGTTTCAGGCATAAGCGACCGCCTTGCCAGGCGTCCAGCTCAATGGTCATTTATTATTATGATGGATTCGGGTTCCCCTTAAATCATCTTCCACCAACACCACCACCACCTTCTCCTCCCCCCACAGCCCTTTACCGCTACCGTTTAGGCCACCAGCTTTCTTGTTTCCTTTCTACTCAGCTTCACTTCCTTCCCGTGACTTATCACATCCCGTATCAACCATGGTATGTGCCTTCTTCCTCGCTGTCCCGGCCAGTTGTGTTGAAAATCCCCCACTTTGCGGGGCAGATCTGCCTGGCATTCTCAACAGGATTGCTGACATCGCATCGTCTAGGCCGACTCTCTGACCGAAGAGCAAGTTTCTGAGTACAAGGAGGCCTTCTCCCTCTTTGTGAGTGCTCCCTGAATGACCCTCCGATCATCCTGATCGATGAGCTATCTTTACCGGAGCATAATGCTAATGTGTTTTCGGACTTAATAGGACAAGGATGGCGATGGTGGGTGGAATCCTATCCCCTTCACATTTTACCTGTAGCGCTCGATCCGACCGCGGGATTTCGACAGCATTTCTCAGAATTATTTGGATCATAATACTAATTTAATCGGTGAATCAGGCCAGATCACCACCAAGGAGCTCGGCACTGTGATGCGCTCCCTTGGCCAGAACCCCTCCGAGTCTGAGCTTCAGGACATGATCAACGAGGTTGACGCTGACAACAACGGAACGATCGACTTCCCCGGTATGTGTTAGATTTACGCCTGTAAGGCGGAAATGCGGGCTGGATTGTGATTGACTTTTGCCGCCAGAATTCCTTACCATGATGGCTCGTAAGATGAAGGACACCGACTCCGAGGAGGAAATCCGCGAGGCTTTCAAGGTCTTTGACCGCGACAACAATGGTTTTATCTCCGCCGCGGAGCTGCGCCACGTCATGACCTCCATTGGCGAGAAGCTCACCGACGACGAAGTCGATGAGATGATCCGTGAGGCGGACCAGGACGGTGATGGCCGCATCGACTGTATGTTTACCATGCCCGATTATACTCATATCATAACATACTGACTCTGCTACCAGACAACGAGTTCGTCCAGCTCATGATGCAAAAATAAACGGTTCTTCATGTTCTATTTGTCTTGTGTTAGCGGAAAGGGTGGGGAGCAATGAAATCTACTCCACAATGTCCCATCTTCTATCCCATCCCGTCCCTTGTAGTCTCATCATTTGGCTATGACTCTTATTCATCTTAATGGTCGAGCGCTTCGCATTACCAATGTTGGTTCTAATGTTGCAGGAATGGTAGAGGCGACCATATAGGTCTAGACTGGTTTGAGCGAGCTGAGATTGAACATGTCAGATTGGGAGGGCTCTATCTTTTCTAGGGGTTCCTGCGTGATGTGGCCCGCAAGAGTTTTTTGTCCCTCTCCATAATACCCTTTGTCCCTCTTACCCCTTTCACCATTGTCCATAGGTCCCATGTCGTGTTCGTGATTCTAATCGATCGACATCTCGTAGTCGATTGCATCGGATAATGATCATTGGTATTATAAGAGTGTTTGATGTAGACAGGAGGCAATGGCCTTATGCTGCTAGTTCATTGATTCTCACACACTTTCTCCGGTTCGAAACAAAGAGCACCAAATGTGGAGGCCTTAAGTCAAACCCGGTTCCCAGTGCTCTTTGACGGTACCCCCTGCACATTGTGTACATTCCTTGTACCACATGCCACGCAGAACTTAATATCATACGAGATATCTCCCTTTAAGCTACGATCCGCCAGCTTAGTGAGCATACATCTTCTCAAATAAGCAATCTCCTACATAATCCAAATTTATATTATGCATCTCATTATCGAGGTCTGCTATCTTTACCGATTAAACCTAAAAATCTCCATAAACTGCCTCGCCACATCCACACCCGCATCCGGATCCGGATCCTCCTCCGCTTGCTGTAGACTCGCCTCGTTAGAAACAGTATTTCGGCCCTTCTGCTTCAATCTCCTCAACCGATCCTTGGCTTCCTTGCCTACATCCGGCAACAAAATAGCTTCTCTGGCTCCTTCAATGCCGAGTCTCGCCCAGAACTCCCTAATCAACGCCGCACTAGCCGCATACTCTGCATCAATATCCGCGTCTTCAATAGCATCCGGGAACGCCATATCAATCCCGGAGTCGCCATCATCAGCTATTTGTCCGTCGCTCGAATTCCGTGGTGCTGAAATCGCATCAACTATGCACGGACCCCGCCATTCAATTTCCACAACTGTTCCGCGCACCCTCGCTGCTGGCTGAGTCTGTCGTACATCACCCACTCGGACTCGGAAATCGCCCACATCGTAGACCACACCGCCTGGTACGGTTACCGTGTGTCGATGGCACCAGAAAGGCTGGCAGGCGTAGCCGAAGTGCTGGAAAAGTGCATTACAGGATGGAAGCGGCACGGTGGTCATCACCATTGGTCCTCCTGACTGTGCATCAGCATTAGATGGGGTGGAAGGGGTGGGCGCTGTTGCGCCTGGAGCTCCACTTTGGGCAGTAGGATTGGTGGGTGAGCCAGCTGGCGTGGTGTTAACACTGGTGGTGGAATGATGAGTGCTTTTTTCTAGTGCTTCAGAGGTGTAGATGAAGCCGTGGTTAGAGTGAAAAGACAGTGATAGGAATTGCATATAGCGCGGTTGCACCTGGCGCTGGGATGCTGAGGCAGGAACACATGATGGAGTATCGCGCATTAGTCTGTGTTCGAGGAACCAACGGCCTACTAATGTTGGCTCGTCTGCTAGGGCTGTGTGTAGGCGCTCTGTGATAGTCGCTAGCCCTGTGGATGCATTTGGGTTCGAGGGGATGAAGTAGACTCTGGTTGGTTGGAGTCAGCATGATGTGAGTATATGTGATGATTGATCAGCGCTTACCCTGTGATAGGCATTTTGTAGTGACTGGTAGTTCTCTTGATAGGTGATATAGCTCTATGGATGGTTTTTCTTGATCTTGAGTAGGGCGCCTACGAAGGCATTCACGTGCCAAGTTTGAGAAAGCAAGAGGGGTATCTTTTTGAACGCAAGGAAATTGAGACAAGTGCAGTAGAGATGTGTAAGAGCCAATCACAATAGTATGGTTCAACAATTAGTAGTGAGTCTGGTGGTAATCACGCAGGACAAGTAACTCATTCGAAGTGCAATGCGTTTATGTCTATTCATACATCAGTATATTGAGTATTGATTGGATCGAGCTATTTGTGGAAAATCATCTAGACATACCCAGAGGAATACAATAGCAGTAGCTTATGTTGCTTCGACTATACCACTCAGACGGAGCTCTAGTAGGACTGATTGGACTGTCCGTGGCTTTTTCGGCCATGTGACCCGTCATGACTTGGAGACATTATTGACTGCCTTGGAGTCCAGGCCACAAAGGTGCAAACTGGTCAAACACCGCCCCAAGCAACACTTCGACCCCAACTGGCATTAATTCCCACTCCGACCTCCGACTCGCTTTTCCTTCATCTTCTGTGGCTGTTCACTGGCCCACCTCCACTTCGAGTACCAACAGTAATCAATACCTGGGCCGTCTGGGTCCTCGGGTCTCCACTCTCACATTTTATCCCCGACTCTGTCTCTGATTGAGCCACAGCGACGTACTGAGATCCGTCTAGACTTTGGGTCTGGCATATCCAGGGGAACACACTTCCACTTTCTGTTCTCTACACAGTACGCGCGTATGTCTCTCCTTGCCAAGACGCGGGACAAATACTCCGGGCAATGAGGCTGAGACCACAAGGGGGTCTTAGTTTTGGAGTATTCGACGTCAAGAGGTCAAGAATAGAAAATCGCACCCACTCCAGGCGGATTAACACTCCCTATTCTGTCATCCTTGAGACTGGCCAGGGTCCAAGGGACCACTAGCTTACGCAATGGGCAGATCCTTTCACCATATTGCTTGTTTACGCTCCGCTCGACTATTACTTACTTTGGTAAGTTTCTTTGCCAATGAACCTTTTCAGCCATTCACCCTCTCCTCTTTTCGATCAACATGCCACCCATGGCTAGACGCTTGTAAGATGGAGCAGTAAACGCTCGGATGTAACATACCTCCACCGCAGCGCCAATGCTTATTTGCCAGCTACAACTGGGATAGAAAGACCGGACCAGGGGCGATCCTCGACAACAGGGTATATACGGTGCCCATGCCTTGTCTAGTTTGTACCAGCGCGCTGCACTTGCGAAGAACCGTCGCCTTGGTCGGTCTTTTGGTGTCCAACTCAAGAACCATCCCCTCCTTTCAATCTCGTCGGCGTTAACTCGCCGTGCCCGATTACTGGTAAATCTGGCATCGAGCATGCTCACGCATCTCCGATGTTACCTCTCATTTGATTAATATAACCCATTGCTGTGATCCGTACAGCTGTCCTCTCCTTCTTGCTGTCTGCTCCTCGTTGATTTAGCGATTTCTTTATCAAGTATTGTCTATAGTTTGCCGTAACCATGGCGCGACGGAGCTACCTCCTACCCACTATCATTCTCCTATGCATCACATACGCTCTTTTCTCGAGTCTACCGCCCGGTGCGGAACCACACTACCACCACCATTTCAGAAATCCATACGACCCCCCTCCACATAAAGAGGGTAGGATTCGTTGGCGGAAACATGCCGAGCAGTATCCAATCTCCGATTACATCCCCCTTCCTTCGACTGAGCCATCCACTATTCCCCGAATTCAGCACAAATTTCCTAGGGAGTCGTGGTTCGCACGATGGGGACGGGTAAAAAGGCAGCGTGCGGTCAAGAAGGCATTCCAGCACGCGTGGAAAGGATACAGAAACAATGCCTGGCTGGAAGACGAGCTCTCTCCGATCAGTGGCGGTCACCGCGAGACCTTTGCGGGCTGGGCAGCTACCTTGGTGGATTCCCTAGATACTCTTGTTATTATGGGACTCACTGAGGAATTTGAGGAGGCTGTGAAAGCGCTGGAGTACATCGACTTTACTACCACCAGCGCCATTCAAATTAATGTCTTCGAGACCAATATCCGGTACTTGGGCGGGCTTCTTGGTGCCTACGACTTGACCCAGGGGAAATATCCGATTCTCCTGAAGAAGGCAGTTGAGATTGCGGACATGATTTATGGTTCTTTTGACACTCGTAATCGGATGCCGCAATCTCGGTGGGAATGGACCAGGTAAGACACCCATGAAGGCAGATGCCTCGGTTACCAAGGGATATCTAGGTGTCGCTAGGGTACCCTTCTGACTCGGGCTGGGCCATGTTGACGGGAATCTAGATCTGCGGATGGTCTGAGCATCGAGCCGGGCCGAAACACCATACTTGCTGAACTCGGATCATTGAACCTAGAATTCACGCGTCTATCTCAACTTACAAAGGACCCCAAATACTTCGATGCTATCCAGAGGATAGCGGATTTTCTCGAGGATACTCAGGAGACAACCGACGTACCTGGGATGTGGCCCATGATGGTCAATGCTAAGGACTTGGAATTCGCTGATCCCAGGTTCACCATCGGTGGAATGGCTGACTCGACGTATGAGTACCTCCCGAAAGAGCACATGCTGCTGGGAGGGCAGACGAACCAGTACCGTAGAATGTACAACTCCTTCATGAAGGCGATGAAGAGCCGCCTGCTTTTCCGCCCGATGACCGAAGACGGTCGAGATATTCTCTTTGCTGGGAACCTCCGCGTTACTGGGTCTTCTACCCGGAGTAACCTGGAGCCCCAGTGGGAACATCTCAAGTGCTACCTTGGAGGTACTGTCGGCATAGGGTCCAAGGTGTTTGACCGACCCGAAGATTTGGCTGTCGCGCGGAAGTTGGTCGATGGGTGCATTTGGGCATATGATATTATGCCGACCGGGATCATGCCAGAGATCTTGCATCTTACCGTGTGTAAGGACGATGAGAATTGCCAGTTGCCTCAAAGCTCTCATCCCACAAGCACCTCAAAGGATGGCAAGAAACTGCCGCCAGGCGTAGTTGATATTCCCGACCCCAAGTATCTACTACGGTATGTCTGTTTGGCTCATTTCTGGTGTTGCATTTTCCGTCTAATCCCATCTTAGACCCGAAGCTATTGAGTCGGTTTTCATAATGTACCGTATAACGGGGGACCGGTCTCTGCAGGATGCTGCGTGGAGGATGTTTCAAAATATCGACAAGATGACGCGGACCTCATTTGGACACGCAGCCATTTCCGATGTCCGGGACCCCGAGTCGCCGCAAATGGACTACATGGAAAGTTTCTGGCTGGCAGAGACACTAAAGTACTTTTATCTCATATTTTCCGAGCCGGACCTCGTGAATCTGGACGAATATGTGCTGTAAGTTTTACAACTTGTTATCCGATCCTTCATGCGGATATTTTGCTAAAAATTTGAGCAGGAACACGGAAGCGCATCCCTTCAAGCGTCCAACTGCTTCAAGTACATAATGCGGCTAGGGGTTCTTTCCGTGATAAACATGCATGGCGAACGGGCGTCGCCATCGGTGATAAAACTTTGACACCAGATGATCTCTATACATATGAAAGGCCATCTGATCAGTATATAGTCTGTGAAGGAGTTCTAGATATTTCCTATAGTTCATTTAACGGAGCGCTAGTCATATAGAGGCGCCCATACTATACAATATATACATTTACAAACAACATTAGTTCATCATCGATTGAATAGCCTAGCACTACCTCCAATAAGCACCAGACATACTCAAATCGCGACGCCTATCATACTCAACCGTATATTCCACATCCTTCCGGATCATCATCCTTGCACTCCCACCATCACTTTCAACACTGCGCTGCCCATCCATCTCAACAAGTTCAATACTAGTAGGTTCAGCCACAGGACCTGCCTGACGCCCACTATACCCTACCCCATCCAATCTCCCCGATATCCTCCACGATCGCCTCTCAGTATTCAAATTAGTCTGTCGCCCAGACTCCGCTTTGGACGAATCAACCTTCCACGACCGCGACACTCCACTTGTACTCTCGAGATTCGAATCACCCGCCGTCCCGTAGTTGGTGCTCACGGCCGCCATAAACGGCCGCAGGCAGAAGATACTGCACGCCACGAGAGCATAGTTGAGTTCAACCTGCGCCCAGATGACGGGTGTGACGACGGCTAGTGTGGGATCCGGGGAGTGGACAAGGAGTAGGATGGTGTATATGTGGAAGACGGAGAAGATTATCAAGCTTAAATTGCGTCGCAGGTGTCAGTATCAGTCTATGCCACTCGTCGTTTGTTTGGGGCTAAGGGAATACTCGGTAAGCAGGAAGGATACTCACGGAAGCCGAAACATGAATGCAAACCCTATAGTCAGCTTGCGCTTAAGAGGCATGAATAGTCCCCAAAGTAGGAAGACGGCTAATCCAAATATGATCAATTCTGTCGCTATGTCCAACGCGACGATGAATTGCCAGCGTTTGGACTTGATCACGAGTCGTCAGTCATATCCTTCCGCTGGCGGTATGCCAATATTCTTGTGGAATATGCTGGGAGTTTCATACCAAATTCACACATTGGCCCCCGGAACCTTTCCATGGACGATTCAGTTCGCAGTTCACCGCGATGATGAAAACGGCTGGGATGACCCATGCTGTACATAGAGCGAGGGTGGCTAGGGAGGCTCGGTTATGGCATTTCTGGGGCGTAAGACGGAGGTAGATACCGCAGACGCAGCATTTGGAGATGTAGACGGTTATTAGGTAGAGGATGTCGCTGACTGTGATAAGCTGGGTATTATTAGGGAGATGTTGGCATAGCTTGTGGCTGAAGAAGGAGTGGTGGTAACCTAAACGCACTGTTTGGATTTTGTCCACTTGATTTTGTTCCAGAAGATGAATGGATGTTCCGAAACCATGTGATACCGCGTCGAATAGGAGCGCTGCCTGCACAATTGCTACTATCTTTATTTCGACAACACTTGTTAGAACAAGTATCCAGTATTGAAATCAAGTGACTTACCGTCGCTCCGAGGAGAAGATAATCATCATATGCAAACGGCGGATGGAGAGCAATTCGCACATACAGTCTGATGAAGAAGCTGACAAGAGATACGACTAGGCCCAGAGCTCCAGTGATGATAATCCAAGCTCCATGATGCAAATCATCTACCACTTGGAATGGGGGAGATTGTCCTGGTGGGACATACGGGCCGCTCATGCTATGGCTGAGGCAGGATGTGTCGATTGCCTCTCGGATCCTGGGAACAGATAAACGAAAGCAAAGACCATCATCTACGGAAAGCTTCGACCAGGATGGTGGAGATATGTTCTTATACAATGTGGTAGTGTCGCTTTTTTGCTTTTCCAGGATGCGCAATCTTCGTGGTTGGTTGGCTGATTTTTCTGTGACTGAGTTAGAGCCCACGCATGCGATCAGGATACATGATGCACGTCTAGCAATATGCCTCTCAGACACACGGGCCACATGCCAGGATTATACTGTCGGGAGAAAAGTAAAATTGTCATGGTTAGCCAGCCAAGGGGCATGGACTGGGAGCGAGATCAGCCAGTCCGTTGCCTCATCCTGGCTGTTAAGAGAATGGGCAATCACTTTAAGTATGATGGACTGACTTACTTATTGCTTGAAACAAAACATTGCTTGGGAGCTCTCTGAAGACTAAACCCTCTGTGTCGATCTAGACCGCACGATCAAGCGCAGTCAAGGGGCTGCATATCAGCCCACGTTCAAGATGACGATCTGTCAGGTGGGACAAATGGCAACCCGACGCAGCGTGTGGCTATGCCGGAGCAAAAAGCATATTATTCTACAATGTTAGGACTCCAAGAAGGCTCGGGTATCTCTAGCCTGCAGATTGGTTCCAGCCCTTTGGACTACAAGGGTATTTCAAATGAAAGGATACCCCGAGATCGTACCGTGATCAATCCATTTGTTACCCTTGCTTGATTTCGGTGGTTCCAGCGCTGCGCTCAACAGCTTTGCAGAGGCTTTGATTTTTGTGGTAGGCGACAAAGCAATATCTAATGCGGTGGTAATGAGGATCAATATCGAGATCGACGTTTATATTGCTCGCTTAAAGCTACAGGCGCGTGCAATTCAAGGTGATGGGCACATGTTCGTGATCGAACGTGGGGGGTTGCCTTCTCTCCCCGCGGAGACTGGCTGCCTTTCCGTCTGCTTACCCCTTACTTGGAATCAAAACTGGGAATCCTCATCCCGACAGTCGGGATATAGGCAAAGCCACCATATATGCCTCGAGTTAGAAGCTCTAGGGCCCCTACAGTTTTATATAACAGGTCTCACTTTTGAGTCAAGGCATCAATGTCTTGGATATATCCGCCATTGTGCCCAACAGCGAGCTCGTATAATGATCCCGAGATTCGCACAAGAAAAAGCAAGCACACTTGATCTGCGCTACAAAGCCACAATACGCACATGCAAGTCCAGAATATGTTTCAGATTTGCCTTTATCTAGCATGTCGTGTCCGGCTGAAGATTGTGACCTAGCGCCACAAGAATGCGTTGACACGGATTAAGTGATTCCCACCTGCTTACCATCCTTGGGGATAGTAACGGCCATTGTCTATGCCTATAATACTTACTTTGTCGAGTTCAATTGAGGACATATACTCCTTCCCTCAATACCATGGCTTTTGAGAGTGGCAGGATTGAAGGGCAAATACATGTGGAGGGCTCTGAAAATGTTGAGAAAGCATCAAAGGGCCTCGTGGCCCCCAAGTACATGGGTACTATCAGAGACCAGCGCGATATGAGTGCTCTGGGCCGTGTCCAGGTTTTAAGGGTTAGGATGCTGTGTTCATGCTATAGCTGCCTTATTCTAATGCAAGATAGCGGAATTTCAGATTCGTCTCGATTCTAGGGTTCGGCTGTACGTTGATTTCCACATGGGAGGTCATCTTAACGTGAGCACTACTACAGACACTGTGGATTATTGGCTAATCAATGAGTAGGTTATTGACCAGTGGTCTGACAGATGGAGGAACCGCTGGGTTAATATGGGGTTTCATTATCGTCACAGCAGGTTTCGCGCTCGTCTTTGCCAGCATAGCTGAGATGGCTTCTATGTACGTTTCGCAGCCCTTGGGCACTTACTGTCTGGAAGGAGAGTCGAGCGCATTCTAATACTTGATCAAAGGTCACCAACATCGGGGGGTCAATACCACTGGGTATCAGAATTCGCTCCTCGCCGGGGACAGAAGTTTTTGAGCTATATAACGGGTATTTCGAGGATATGCGCTCTTCCAGGTCGAGGTTGACAAAGAAAATAGGATGGCTTTGTGCAACAGGCTGGCAATGTGCCATTGTAGCCATTGCATATCTGGCAGGCACAATAATCCAAGGACTAATAGTGCTAAATCATCCGACATACGAATTCGAGCGGTGGCACGGTACTCTGCTTGTTATAGCTATCACAGCATTTTCTATCTTATTCAACACGTTCCTAGCCAAGAACCTGCCTATGGTTGAGGGTCTGATACTCATTATCCATGTTGTGGGCCTATTTGCTATCATTATCCCACTATGGGTACTTGCTCCTCGAAATAGCGCAAAGGCTGTCTTCACCGAATTCTACGATGGAGGCGAATGGGGAAGTCCTGGCACCGCTACGCTTGTCGGCTTGTCGACTACTATAACTTCCATGATTGGATACGATTGCTCAGTCCATATGTGTAAGCGCCTCTTGCATTACTGGAAACATGATGCTAACACAAACCTAGCTGAAGAAATCAAGGACGCATCAGAGACACTTCCCAAGGCTATGATGTCTGCAGTGGGTGTCAATGGTATGCTTGGTTTTATTATGATTGTCACCCTGTGCTTCACCCTGGGTGATGTCAACAACATCCTGCAAAGTCCGACTGGATTTCCGTTCATTCAGATATTCTACAACACTACCCGTAGCTACGCGGCAGCAAACACCATGACAGCCATCCTTATCATCACGCTGACCGCTAGCACGATCACTGAGGTAGCCACAGCATCCCGCCAGCTGTGGTCATTCGCGCGAGACCAAGGACTTCCGTTCTCATCTTTCTTCGCCTACGTAAGTGCTTCCATGCAACAGCTACTAACACCGCTGATTCCTGTTGTAACCACGCAGGTCACTCCTGGCTGGAACATACCCCTCAACTCCGTCCTCGTCTCACTCGTTGTGACCGCGCTCTTAAGCCTCATCAATATCGGGTCCAACCTAGCTCTGAACGCTGTTATCTCACTAACAATAACATCGCTCATGTCAGCATACATCCTGTCCATTGGGTGTGTTCTGCTGAAGCGACTGCGCGGAGAAAAGCTCCCACCGCGACGGTGGTCGCTCGGTCGGTTCGGAATGACCATCAACATAGCTAGTCTGGCGTTTCTCTTTCCGATATTTGTCTTTTCGTTTTTTCCACTTACAAAGACTGTCGATGCGCATAGTATGAACTGGAGTATCGTTATGTACATGGCAATGGTTGGCTTTGCGTCGGTGTATTATTACTTCTGGGGGAGATACCAGTTCATTGCACCGGTAGCGTTGGTGAAGAGGGACATTGATCTGGATGATATGTGAAAGCTGGGTACAGTGTATAGTGACGCGCTTTGTTTTTAATACAATACAGTCTACTAACTGCTATCTGTACATACGTCCAACGTGAGAACCTTATATCGAAGCGTTTCGAGTGTTGAATCTCCAGTTATCTAAAGGGACCCTAGTCCAAAACGCATTCGTTTCAAACGCGAGAAAATTGTCTTAGATATATAGTAAACCTCCCCACCATACTCCCACATAAACAAATAGTTACACTACATTAAAACCAGCTATTACTAGATATCAAGACAGACCAAAAAGCGGCCCAGGTCAGGGTAAACCCCGGCAATTGGGTATCCATTTCACCCGCGGAAATGCTACCTGCATGACCAATGCACATCCATAACCTCCGTGCAAAAGAAGTCACACATGCATCTCCCGGGAATGCTTTGTCCACGGAACAACATGTCAATGCATCATCAGACAGGGGTATATTTTCCCTCAGCCTTGAAACGCGGCTGGTCAATCTCTGTCGGGCACCCCGGGGCGGAATGAATACCTGATCGGTCATCCCTGCCGTGTGGGAGAGACTGTTTTGTGTGTGACCGTGCGCGGCGTCAGAATCTCTTTAGAAATTGGAATGGCATAGGCGCTGAAGGAAGATTTGGGAGTGCGTATTTACACCTGATAACTAAGACAAAAGGTGGTAGTAGAACATACAAAGGATGAATATCTGCTTATGAGGGCATAACCACCTACACAGACATCGAGAACAATAAAAAAGTACGGAGACACACGTACTTTTTCACCACGCCAACCCATAACAGTAGAGCCGTCGCATCAAAGGAACCCACCCACACACCCGATTTAGTCACTAGTCAATAATAGCCAACTAGTTAGTAGATAGTTAGCCTAGTTCCACCCTCTATCCAGCCCCAGAGCCTTGGGTTCTAGCACGATCAGATAAGCCCCCGCTGGGTGTGTGTGTGTGCCGAAGGGGAGTGGTGGGTTGGTGATCCTGATTGCGTAACGCGAACCCAGGCCCAAACCAAGCGTGTCTGTCTGTCTGAGAACTCGGCTGAACCTGTCCGACCACTTTGCACCAGAGGGAGAGCGCGATATTCCAACTTCATCTGCTACATCGGGCTCTCCGGCGATAGCATGTTTTGTGTGTGACCCCTTACAGGAGAAAACATGAGCCAGAGGCAATCAATGAATGCACAAGGTCACTCAAACTCCGTAATTCCGGAATCTGCTGCATCATGATCAGATCATACATCCATTCACCCTAGTCTCCTCCTTCTCCCCTGATCTTCATTGTTCCCCAGCCCGCTATGGAGAACGACGGGTCGTATCAAGTTCCAGAACGTTTTGGTGTCGTGCTAGTTGTGTTCTGGAAAGTGAGGGAGTTATTGGCGCTACTGATGATGGTGTTATTATTGGAAATTATGAGGAGCTTTCCTGGCAACAATGTACTCCCCCGTATTGGGGCGGGAAGGAGTTCCCCTTCCTTTTGTGTCATTACTCAAGGGGGTAAATTTCATATCTGATTGATTGATTTGATTGATATGGTGAACGCGTCGGCCGATGTCGGAATGTGCCCCACTCGGGGCCCGGGTGACCTGTCACATGCGGTTACACGGTGCCGGTGAACGGAAGGTTTTCTTGTCACGATGTGTACGGTGTAAATTGGTTGAGTGTTAGCCGTAGATGAGCTGAGCTGCGTGTATGTCGAGGGAAACCAAGAAATAAAAGCATTATAATGTTTTTCAGGATGAGTTGGGGTTACAATAATGGTGAATGGGAAATGGGAGAAGAGTAGAGTTATCAGCCATAGGTGGGATGACACACGGATGACCGGACACAGAACGCGACAAAGTTATCTGATCCGTATCCAGACTGGCCACCGGTCACGTGAACGGTCAGCGGTTTGTGCACCCGGAATGGTTCTGGTTCCCTCTTTCGAGAAATATAGGGAAAGCTATGGGGACGGTGTCGGAACGAGATCCCGATGTGCATTTTCATGATTGCCCAAAAATATCGCATAGCTTGAATAGCATTGAGAAAGGAGGTAACCAGACAAGTTTGCTTAACCGAGGACCGATCCTGGCCTTGAAGGGGGGGGGGTGAGACCGGATCAGATTAGATCGGTAACGTAACTCGGCTGTTGCGATATTACGTACCGGTACGAGAGGAATTGGGAGACTGCCGCTGTCAGGCCACTTGCAAATGGCCGGATGAACGATCTAAATGCGGTCGCGGCAAGTGATCACGGGCAGTTATGGAGGTGGGGGAAACAATGGCTGATTAGCTAGGGAGGTGGTTAGTATCTCACGCAAGCCTGATATCATATCCAACCCGGGATAAGGATTCCATCCACCTAGGCTGGCAGGGCAGTCCATTCATTTGCCTCCAATTACTACCAGGTCGAGTAAATTGTCCCGCTAGCTGCAGATCGGGCTGCCAACTCGACTGTTTCCCCGCGGGGTCAGAACCCTGGGATGGTCTGATTGGTGAGATAACTTTGTAGTCACGCAGTACATGGAAGACCTTATCAGAAGAAGGCAAAAAAGGGATGTGTCAAGAAATCCAGGTCCAACCCATTCTTGTGTTAGAAAAGCAAATTGCCTGCGTGGGATAAACGCTTCCGTCGGTCATGGACAAGACGGGTAAAGTAAGTTACAAACAGACGGTAATGACGGGAGGTTCACCGACGGGGGGCGAGTGGCAACTCCGACCGTGGATTTCGTGCCATTTATTCATCATTGAATAATGATTGTGTGCGACAAAACAAGTCAGTCTCTTCAAGGCTCTTTTTTCTTCTTCCCTCCAGCCCGGCCACTTATCTGATTCTTTTTTCGCACGTGCTTAACTCCAGTTCATTCCCCCCAGCTATCTTGACTGGAGTTTCAGCTAAATTCCAGCACACCTACCCTCGTCTAATCTGACTTATCTCTTGCTCTCACGCTCACGGTCGGACTACCGGAATCCTCCGTACGCCAAAAGGACGCCAACAGCGAAAGGATCCCGACTAAGCTGCGACTAATCGCCCACCATCTGATGTGCATCGTCGTCTAGTCTATCGGAACCGTTATCCCGGTGCCGTCTGCCCCAGGCGAACTGCGTCCCGTCTAATTCGATTCCACCCCCATTTTTCGACCATTCATCAACCTCGCCCACTGCTGACCTGTTCTCTCCGATTGCTGCTGGTCTGATTCGGGTCTCCATCACGGTTGCGGTGTCCACTAGCTGACCCGATCCACTGGCCTTCGTTTCCAATCCCCTTTTCTGTGGCTCCTCTTTTCTACATTTGACCAGCCATTATCTTGCGATTGCTTGGTCTTCGACTTTTGTCTGCTTTCCTCCCTTCATCTTCGCCAATTCCTCTAGGTTGGCGATCTATCACCAATTGTCGTATCTTCTGCTGTCATAGAACCGCAATGGGTATGGTTAAGTGTCTATCCTTCGCGCTTGCTGCTCAATTGATGTCCATGACAATTGCTGATAATATCTCTCTGAACAGTTCACGCCGTTCTTCCTCCACCGCCGCCGTCGAGGCCTGTGACGTCGCGGACGTCTCTTGTTCCTCATGTGGAGCATGCGATTGTTCCGCGGTCGTCTACCTCCCACCCTGACAATCCGGTTCCAGAGGAGCCTCGTGGCGTTCGCTCGCTCTCGATAACTGATGTGAATTTCAGTGTCTCCACGCCGTCTTCGCCGGAGACAGACACTACCAGCTCAGAGACAGCGTCGGGTGTCCAGACTCCTGCCACTGAAATCCAATCCGAAGCTGAAGAATCCGCCCGCGATGGCCCCGAAAAGCAACGACGAGCATCTACCGTACTCATCTCCCAGAACTCTGATGACATGAGACGTATCCTGGAAAATGTGGGATCTAGCGGTACGCAGAAGCTTCAGCCGCTTTGCTGTGGTGGTGGATGCTGCCGCAGCAAGCCCTTGGTGAGCTTCACACCTCCACTGGCCGGAGTGAAAGCAATCACTCCCCCAGACAACAAGGCCTATCAATGTTTGAAGCTCAATGTCGATTACCTCACTTTGGACAGCGAGCTGAGCAACGTCGCTCCTTTGCCCGAGAAGACGGTCTCCTTCTCGTCCGTCCCAGGCTACGCAGTAGATGTGGAGCTGGGACCGGCAGACCATCCTCCTTCTTTCGTCCAGCCTCACCCGCCATACAATGTCTACCGGGCGCCCTTGTACCATGCGCGCGAGCTGACAGGGTCAGGTGCGGAGAAGCGGACGTATCACTTTGACATTGACGTCACCGACTACCCTGCAGAGAGTGGAAATGTCGACTTCATAGTCGGTGGTGCCATTGGGGTGTGTCCTAAGAACAAGGAAGAGGAGGTCGATGACATCTTCAACCAGCTTGGTGTTCCTAAGTTTATCCGTGATAAGAAAATCGTCGTACGCACTGAGAAGGGCCGCTGGCCCACCATCTGGGGTGATGACCAGCCCCGTGAGCTGATCACGACCCGAAGAGAATTGTTGAGCTGGTGCTCTGATATCCAGAGTTATGCCCCTAACAAGGCTTTGTTCCGCTTACTCGGCGAGTATGCCAGCGATCCTAGCGAAAAGAAGATCCTCCTGTTCCTTTCCTCCGCTCAAGGCCAAGGTGCTTTCTGTGACCTGCGCACCAGCTCCCACGTCACCGTCTCCCAGCTGCTTCACGCATTCCCTTCCTCTCACCCTCCCTTGGATCACCTTCTCTCCGTCCTGAACACCCTCATGCCCCGCTTCTACTCACTGTCCCAAGATCCACTTCTGTCATGCAAGCAGAAGGGCTCCGTGACTCGTCGTGTGATCGAAGTTGCGGTAACCGTGGCCGAGTCTGATGACTGGAAGGGAGGCCTCCGCACTGGTGTGGGATCTGGATATCTCGAGCGCGTTGCACGACGATTGATTGACGCTGAAAAGAAGGGCATCGACCCGCAGACTCTTGACCTCCACGTACCCATGTTCCGAGGCCTGATGGCCAACCCTCTAGCCAAGCGCTTCGCATCCGATGGTCCTATGCTGCTTATCGGCGCGGGAGTTGGCATTGCTCCGTTCCGCGGTTTCGTGCAGCGACGCCTGCAGTCTGCCAACTGTGCGAACAAGGTCTGGGTGCTGCAGGGTGTTCGCGACTCTTTGCTGGACGAGCTCTACCGCGGCGAGTGGGGTGTCGAAGAAGAAAAGGTGCGAACAGTCGTCCAGAGCCGTCGCGGCGAGAGCAAGTACGTGCAAGAGGAGGTCCGGAACCAAGCTGATCTTGTCTGGTACGTGATCAACGCTTTAGACGGGCGTGTCTTTGTCTGCGGTAGCGGAAAGGGCATGGGAGAGGGCGTTGAAGCCGCCTTGATCGACGTAGCCATGGCCAAGGGTAACCTCAACATGGAAGAAGCGACATTGTTCTGGGAGAACAAGAAGGAAGCTGGACAGTACATTGCAGTAAGTGTGATCTGCCACTCCATTGTTGACTACTCTGAAACTAACCCTTGGATTAGGAAACATGGTAAATCCTCTCGAGCGGTATACCAAAGCTAGCCAAATTGACTTTGGCTTTGCTGCGCTATGCTGTACTGTCTTATGCAGTAACTTTGCATGGCAAGCTCACAACATCACATGCTTTCTTGCATGTGACATCTTTCATTTCCATTCGAATCTGTATGACATTGGTCATTTGCCGGGTATCTTGATTTTAATATTGCTTTAGCGGGACTGGTTTTTGTTTGGTTTTGTTATATTTTGTTATTATATCTTTGTTATTTTTCATCTACGGTTGATCCGGGATTACCGTCGAAGAACGGGTTGGGCATGATAGATTAGTACTTACCTGGTAGCGATACCTAATATATGGGTTATGTACAAATGGCAGAAGCACGAGTAAATAAGAAGTAGGGAGGCTAGCGAGATGCCACAGGCATTTAGCCATGTCCGCCTCGGTGGCCTCTGGGGATTGCCTCGGTAGTGAACACATAATTTGTAGTAGTCCAGTAATTGACCAGGCCGTAAATCCTCATATAGTAGTTGCTCTTTCATTTCTTCCCCTAACCACTACTAATATTTAGTACTTAGAAGCAGTTTTGTTCAAATGAAGCACCATCATAGTTATCACTCATCTGATTGAATTTGACATGGGGCTACTGCCGCTGATACTGCTACTACTACCAGTAGTAGCTAGTATATATATCCAACAACAACCACCAAAACTACAACAGCCACTATTAACTAGTAGTAGCTAACCTCATGATTCCACCTTTTGAAAACATCTACTATTACTAGTACTAGTGCTACCGAGGACATCATACATCCCAAAAAAAAAAAAAAAAAAAAAAAAAAAAAAAAAAAAAAAAAAAAAAAAAAAAAAAAAAAAAAAAAAAAAAAAAAAAAAGTGAACAATCGTACCACTTGCTTTGCGGTTTACCTTAACCAGAACCCTCGGCTGCCAATGGGTAGACCTGCATTTTACGTCAACCAAAACCTGGCACTACTACTGAGATTTGAAATACTTAAAAGGGACTAAAAACAGTGATTGGATTTGTATGTATGTCTGAATGGAAGTACACCCCTCTCTCTCTATATAAAACCATCCTGTTCCCAATCCCATTCAATATCTACGGTGATTGATCGGTACTCATACAGCCACGGACAACGATAAGTTAGATGAATGGAATTGAACTGGATAGTGGTCTAGGTTGTTTATTGGGCGATGTGTGAGTACTAAGGCTGGTAAGTAGGTAGTTAGATGGAGATGGAGGAGGAGGAGAAGAAGAGGAAGAAGAGGAAGAAGTAGTACCAGTAGCAGTAGTAGGGAATATGTAGTATCAAGCCTCGGTAATTGATTCATGGACGTGAGGAAGTATCGTGATGTGTGGATGTGTGGATGTGTGAAAATGAGGGTTTACAGTGCACGTATCATAGCATTATCGGTGGTGGGCTTATGAGAATGACGAAGTATAATACAAGCTATAATATATTGGTTGAATTGTTGTCTAGATCGTTGGATGTAGTATGTAACTTAGGACTACTGTTTATTTACGAGTGGGATTTTAAGAGCTCTGATAGTTTTTTACCGGGTCTAGATTGCTCCAACTGTATGCGATCCTTATGATGTGTATTATCGCCAGTTACTCGTACTAGATGGAAGATCAAGAATGGATACTATGTAAGGTTACATAAGTACTAGGCTGGGAATAGAAAGCAAAGGTAGCAGTAGTATGTATTGATCCTAAGTCCTGTAATGTTAGTGAGCCACAAATTCAAATTGTAGCTAAGGATCAAGCCATATGAAACCAGGCCCTGGATGAGTAGAGTTGAGCACTTGAACAAAAAAAAGGGGAGGAACACTTAGTAGGCAAAGTATCTAGGGATAAAGGCAGATCGGACAATAGACGCATTGTCACGCAGGGGGCTGATGTCAGATGACTTTACTGGCATAGGACGGCGAGGCTTAATAGAGGGTAGTAATGGCCGTACCGCGCATAGAAGGGCAAGTAGAGGCTCCCCACTCATATTGCGTAAGTCCCCTGAAGGCATAGGGACAGGTTAGTGTGTGGCGACAGACAAGGGGCGATAATTGGCGTGTATACAGAGTTGTACTATTATAGTTGTATAACTTCGAACTGGGAATGTTGTCAGAACAGGAACCTCGCGACCACGGAGGTACAACTAGCTTGGTGTTTACCCCACCAGATGACTCGTAAAGGCAACTCAAAACAAAAGCATGAGCCCACTCAATGCTACCTTTCCTTCAAGGCTAAAGCCTGGACCTGGTCTGGCCTGGCTAACTTAACCTATCCCGGACATATGGATCTGGAATGTTGCAACCCACCAATCAGATAGCGCCGGCTACTTCTTCCTGCCCATCAGATGCCCCGGTGAATCAAAACACTCTTCAGTTTCACTCAGCCCATCAGATGACACGAGCCAGGAGCCGTGACAGGGTGCTGTGGATAGGATCACCGCGCTATGGACAACCCACCAGACGACAGCACGCCAGGCAACAAGAATCCCGACATGGCGCCCACGTCATGCCAGTGCACCTCGCGACGAGACATGCAGTTTTGAGTTTCACGACAGTGTTGAATTTAATGCATATCACACTGGAAGAGGTCAAGGAAACGAGGAATGAGTCCAACGGCGAAGATAGAGTTATGACCCTTGTTTCGGAATTGCTTCGGGCTCGAATGCGAAACGCTGGTGACGGATTCAAGCAGGGAAGCGGCTGGTGTCTAAATATAAACAGTAGGGTTGGAATGTCAATTGGTCCATCTGTTGAAGAGGAATATGGTGGCAGATTAAGGGACTATACAAGCATGGGTTAATCAATCAGTCTGGAGAATGAATTGGAGGATGACGGATTTAGGTCTCCGACAAGTCTGTATTCTCACCCCAACGCGGGCACGGAAGCTCAAGGGAAACCTTCTCTGGGACAACATACTTGGAAGGATACTATCGAGGCACAGGACCAGAACCATGGCTTCTGACCCACTAATGCAAGCGATGTCTGGCACTCATCCCTAGTTTCCCATCCCGAATACAGAACAAGGGAGAGCGAAAGAGAGAGAGAGAGAGAGAGAGAGAGAGAGAGAGAGAGAGAGATGAAAGGAGAAAGGAAGAGAAGCCCAATAACAATGCCATTACTCCATTAATGCTCTAGGAAACTGGGGATAGTACTCACTCAGATTGTTTTCTTTTTTTTTGTTTTTGTTTCCCCCCAACCACTCCGTTATTTCGATCGCTAGGTCGCATAAACAGGAACAAACACCCCACACCAATGCAGCAGCAGAAGCGTGATTCTGACTCTCAAACAACGGCCGTCATGTCTATTTTAGGCAGGTTAAACCCCGGAAGAAAAACAAGTCTGAACTCTGCAGAATGGCGCGGTTGATCATAATGCCATGCTGTGATGTTCTGATCAGCAGCAGCCGTCTTTCATAGGTCGATCCTCCGCTGAGCCAGACGAACTGATGGGGCCGAGAAGAAAGGGGGCCATTGGCTGGCGGGGGGGGCGAAGGCCAGAACCCAAATAGTGATCGGACACGCTGGTTGCCGCACCAGGAATATGGCCTTTCTCCCCTGCCATGTTCTAGAAGGCCATTGTTCTTTTTTGGAGCGGGGAGGAAATGGAGATGGGGGAGAGGGAAAGCCCGTGGCGGTCGTCTCTGTTGGGGAGTAGAGTTTAAGGAGGAGTGGTTACAGCCTCGGGTTAAGTTTGGGACTAGTGAAAGGTGCAATAGAACCTCAGGCTATTGAAGGCACCATCCTTAACTGGGCAGTTGGTACCCGCGAAGGAGACGCCCCAAAACGGGGCAAAACCTCGGACTCGGAGATTTCTCACCGTCAATCAATGCATCAGGGAAGTTTTTGGAGGAGATCTCGTGGGCGGCGATGGTGGGTGAGACATCCTGGAACCGGATATGATGTCAGTCGCGTTCCAAGGGAAAGTTTGTTCGTTTTTGACTTGCTCCTCGCATCGGTGCTCGAAACTGAAAACCCTTCATTGGCTCGAATTGGACAGCCTTTGGAGATGGAGCAAAGTAAGGTGGTGGTATTTGCCATAGGGTCAAGTCCATCTTGGGGTTTATAGGATGTTTTTACCCAACCTTGTAAAGTAGTTAACGTTAGTTACCATGATCAAGGGTGACTAATGACATACAAGTTGGAGGAAATAACATTAATAATAACAATGAAGAAGCTTCAAATGGCAGACAAAGAATGGTAATAATACCGAGGGACGGAATCAATTCAGGTCAATCCATTGTCTCTCTCCAACCGAACTACTGACCTAAGAATCTTACTTGACTTAACTTCCGTACTATCCATCTACTACTGACTAGCATCTACTCCTGTCAGATGCACGACCCTTTAGTCCGTTCGCGATGGATGCCGATGCTGGCCCGTCAGGCGGATCCCAGAGACCGGGAACCAGTGGATGGTGACACCGCAGACAGGGGGGCGATGACAAATAATGGCCCCAAGTGGACAGTCTCTTCCCTCGATCTTACCGCTGAGTCAGGACGGTTGCTCTGCCACTCTTGTCACAGCCGAGCCGCTGGGTCAGCCATCCCCATCTTTGAGTGCGCGCGATCCATAGTTGGTGGTCTAGTTCTTGACACTCGCACACTAATCGGTTGTCGCGACTCGTGCAACTTTCGTTTCACCATATTCAGAAGGAATGATTTTTCATTGTTCTAGAAGAACTGTCATTGAGCAGTCGGAGTTTCCGAAGAGCGGCAGAGTCCCCAGGATCATCATGAAACTGCTTGACCCGCGGTTGCCTCATACCCTTTTTTTTTTTTTTTTTCCCTTTTCTTTTACGTGAAAATGCTTCTTGATTTGATCTTTCCAGATGATCTTGTGTTGTGTGTATCCATACTTAGACTATACATAGACGCCCGGGTGATGGCCGGATGATCGGGGGTTGGATTGGTCTGACCTGCGAGATCCGGGCTGGATCTACACCCTTGCTCCATTCCTGCACGATCTGGGATCTGACAACAGAATTTTCTTGGGAGGGGAAATTAAATTAAATAAAAATGTAAGAAAACTAAAGAGAATAAAAAGATAAAAAGGCAAAGAAGCGCGAACCACTAGACCTGATCGGGAATTCCGCTGCAGGTGCACCCCTCCTCTTTCTCGGTGGCAACAATTGGGCCTGTCATTTTTGGGCGAAACTCACTCACCAGCCTCTTTTGCCCTGCTGCTGACTGCGTCATCGGTGGCTGATGTCCGCGCGCAGCCACCTTTTCTTTCCTAATCAGGAAGTCCCTCATCTCCCTAGTCCCTATTGAGTACAGAATAGTTCACCTAGTCTCAACTCTCTCGCTCTCACCGTCAGAATACGCCTTCCCCCCCCTCTTCTCCTCCCCCCTCTAGAGCACCAGCTCAATACGAATAGTTCCTTTCCTTTACCGCTATCTGCTATACTACCCACGGCATGCACTAGGTAGGTCATGGATCTCTCGCTAAACCGCGCGCTCAGTCGCCACCCCCTTCTCTCGGTGAACCGTGAGTCCTCTCCTCTGCAGGACGAACCAGATCGTAAGTAGCAATAATTCACATCTTTTTGCGACACCGCAACGGGCACGTTTTACTAGTCATACTCCATACTAGATCCTACTAGAGGATTGCCCAGCAAGGCCAACAGAAGCTCTTCCTGTTTGGGAAGGAGCCCGTGGTATGGAGCCTGGAAAAGAACTGGGTCCCTCCTGCGATTGAGGCTACCCTCCCATTGACAAATCATTCACGGCGAATGCAGCCTTGATCTGGCAAGCCACGAGGATCGCTCCGTTTAGGTTTGCACGCGAAGACCTGACGGGCTTGCTCGGTCTGGAGACTTCAGCGCGATCGTTGGTCGTTAATTATGGGTCAGCCACAGACGAAACTGTGACCGTCTCGCTGGTTCGTACCGAACTCTCCTGTCAATTGGCGCGGGGCAGACTGCCAACTAGAGAAAAAGAACAATGCTCTTTTCAGATATCACCCCGGAGATTAGTACTGTCATCGCTCAAACTTTGCTTGTCATGATTCGACGCTTCCGACTTAGGGTTTTTGTGCTTGAATAGTCGGGCAGATGCCGAACCTCCGATCTCAACTTCGTTAAAGTTGCCTTAAGCTTCGGGCTAACCTAGGCATCAGCATCAAGTTTGGACTTTGTTGTTGATCGTAATTGATTTGGACATCCTTCCCCAAATGTCTGACATCTGGGCTTAACGTCTTAGGATGCAGCAGCGGCGCTAGAGAGACAAGAGGAGCAGACCGTTTATGGGCTTCCGCATTACGGGCATGAAGTGGAAAGTTTAGTGTTTTTCTTGGAATTAGACCTGTTTGTGAAGACTTGTGGACAGATGGCGTGAACAAACTCTGACCGGTCTCTGTTAGCCCGCTAATATTGGGTACACAGTAGTGCAACCGGGCGTGTGTGCATGTACACCTCCGCTCTCTCGCTCTCTTTCTCTCGGACGATAAGGATGAGACAGGAAAGCGGATCTCGTCGTGTTCAGCGCGCCACCCAAAGGAGTGGTTCTGATCTGTCTGTCTCCACGATATCATAGACATCCGTGGGACCGACAACGTACTTGGTAACCACTATGTTCTCTCTAATTACCATTGCGACTCGTTTGATGCGAGATCCCTGGGACGGAGTACACATCGTGCACACTCGCGCTTTGCTTGGCCCGTGACTCTGTCATTTGTCATTTGTCATTGGATGCGGCGGTGATTCTCCCGTTCCAGGGGGAGGAACCAATCAGCCGGGTCGCTTTCCCAGAGCGACTTTTCCGATCGTCCCACCAGTGGAGTACGTCATGGGCTCGTGACTGGCGGACACGCCCAATCCATCCCATTTTGACCCTAAGCGCAAATGGAGGATTGCGCCCCGTTCACACTAACTAAAAGTCACTGACTGTCACTCGCTCCATTTTTCAGCTCTGCCATGTTCATGTTGTATCCGTGGCGGGATCCAACCAATGCCTAGACTGGCCCCACTGCAAGACACCAGTCCACACTACTAACTACTAAACTATCACCTGTCTGGCTTCCTCATTGTCAGAATTATTAATCAGTGTACCATGGATGCAGACCCCGTCCCTGTCATCACTCTTGTCCTCATGTGGTTGTCATCCCTGAAACTGGATCTTAAACTTTCCCTCTTTTCTCCCTCGGCGGCTTTTTGCCTGGATTCCCAGAGCTCTCCCGAACTTTGGAACAAACTCCTCCTCGTGCGCGGGCGCCGCCCGTCACACAGAAAGGGGAGAAGAGAGGGGGTTCGGGATCCAGACAAATTAACAACTAATTAATCCCACTTTATCGCAATAACAGTCATGCATATCATTCGTTAGCAGAGGACACCAGGTCCAGTATCTGACTCTCCGATCTTAATTAAACCGAGTCATTCCCAACTTTGGCATGGACCTTGCTTGGTCGTGGCCGCCAAAACACATCAACCCTTGTAATGAAGTCTGATTCAGTCTGCCGTGCAATTTTTGCCCCTCTAATCGCGGCATGTCAACCTCCAATACCCACCTCCTAACCGACAAGCTGAGATGTCATATGCACGGGCAATGGATCTTGCATAATATATGGGTAATAGTGACCAATCATCTCCTAGCCCATACTCGTCTAGACGGCATTGGCTACCGACGTTAGTCATGTTACCTACTTAGACCACGCCGCTACGAAGGGATAGAGGGGGGTCTGCGGAGAGGCTAGTAGCAGCACGCTCGCTGAAGGAAGAAAGAGGGGGGGAGGGCCCGATGGGTGGAGGAAGGGAAACCGAATGTGACCCTGTAGGGAGAGACGCTGTAAGTGACGGTATCGACTTTGAGGCTCTTCTCTCCCTCCCAAAAAAACAGAAAAGAAAAAAATGGCAGCAGCGTTAAACCGGTGATGAACAAGGTCACCCAGATTCAAGCCAGCTGGCTCTATTCTCCGCCTACAAATCCGAGCAAAGTGATTGTGTAGTCACATACCATGGGACTCCAAGATCCCGTGAAATTAATTGGTCAATATTACTAGTCACTGATTGCCGTTAGAATGGACAGCGATGGATAAAACTGGGAAGACAGGCCGACGTGGATCTTCTGACTACAGATTGCAGCTCATCTGGAAAAGCAAGTGGGGTCGGGTCCATGGAAGAGAAGAACACTTTCGGCGATCAGCCCTCTCCTTGTCCCGGAAGTTGGGACCTCTAGTCAAACCCGATCAAGGGCCTCCTCTCTTTGCTGCTGCCGGCCTATGACCGACCGAATTTAGCTTCTGATTCTGTTCTGTCATTCAGCTGAATTTCCCCGCTGTGGGAATCCTTCGAGACTCGTCAAGGACTTTCCACGAGAGAGCACCTACCACTGGCGTTGTTGATACTACTACGTATCATGATCGATCTCGATGTGACCATCTAACCGGTCGATCGGACCTTCACCCTGCCTAATTACCTTGCAGCGGGCGAAACGCCATAGCCGTCACAATTTATAGTAAGTAGTGTAGTAATCCTGCAAGGCAGGTAGGAAATAGGAAATTTGTGAGATGGCGTAGGCACACTTCCTCCCTGTCTTGTTTTGCTGTACAGTGTTATTTATTGGTGTGTTATTCAGTGGCTTTGATTAACTTTCATCCTAACCGTCTTCAATCTAGGCGCATACTGTTTGGGGATAAGCTATGACTTGTGATGCACTTGGTAGTCTCTGCTTGGTCAGAAGTGGCCCTACGCGCCTGTTCTGACACCAACACCGCTGTGGAGTCAAACCCGGCGATCTCATGTGGTTATGTTTTTGCTTTTTTTCTCTTTTCTTTGCTTTTGATTATATCCACCCTCTCTCTTCTTATTCTATTTTATTTCATTTTATTTCACCTTCCATTTTCTATTTTTTTCATTTTTCCCCTTCCTTGTGTGCATTTTCCCTCGAGTCTCCGCCCGTGATTGGCTTGGAATTTCAAAGCTGAAAAATGAATTCCTCCCCCCAAAACTAAGCCCCGGCCCCTCTCCTGCATGACCACTAAGATCGTTTTTGGCTAGACCTGCAGCCATGCCTGCTCCGGACCGTTCCTGAGCGAGAGGATTTGCTTCCTTGCTTCTCCTTAGCTTTCCTCCCGTGCAGTACGGACTGCATTGGTGCCAATTGGTTGGCCCAGTTAGTGATGGGATGGGATGTGGCCTACATGAGAGGAGGAGGCGGGCGTCAGTCCTTACTACCACCCTGTGCAACGTAGCGGATGGGCGACTAATAGCAGGCCTGCTGTTAAAGCCCGGCGGCCTACTACTTACTACCTGACGATTACTTGTGACTGCAGGAAGCTTTTTCCGTAAGCTTTGCGTCAAGCACGGTTGGCTTGGTCTTTGTACTCCCCCCACCTTATACGGCATTTAATTAAGCAGAGACAGCAGCAGTAATTAAATGCGACGTTCTGTACCACCTTTAATTCTGTGGGCAAACCCCGAGCATTTACTAGCTTTCTTTTTTACCTTCTTTTCCCCTCTCTCTTTCTCGCCACCGTAAGTCGTAAAGTTTACTTGTGGCAGTTACCTTAAAAATCTAAAAAGAATTGCTGCCATACATATTTACTTCATACTAGCACGATCATTCTCTCACCGCAAGGATTCGTGGGTTATTGTTTAGTCCAGTTTACTCTAATTTGGTTTAGTTTAACTTATTTACCTACGGGGCGATCAACCATTCGAAAACCGCGGTTCCTCACTGTCTATTTACCAGGTAAACGAAAAGCCCGTGTTTCACAGGTGATTGAAATCCCTAAAAAAAGAAAAGAAGGGGAAACCGGGTGACAAACAGTCTAACCGACTTAGCTCCTTTCTGGAATTTTACCAGTTACGAACTTAGATGGGGCGTGTGAGGCGGAGACACACACACACACACTCTCTCTCTCTATTGAAGGGAAGGAGGGAGAAAGAGGGGAGGGGGTGGGAGGAGGAGTTCCCAGTTTCAGCTTCGTTTTGCCTGGCGAGCCAGCCTAGTCTAGCCGATGATGCCGCCAACCATCTCGGATTCCCCTCCCCCTTCCTTATTCCCTTGACGCCTCCCCCCCCCCCCCCCCGACATATGATAGTGCTAGTAGTGCCACTTTCATGTCAAGTTAGCTTTATTTGTGCCCGGGGGATCCCGAGCCATTCAAAACAGGGGGACTTTATTGCGATGAACCGCCCAAAAAGCAAAACTAGAATGGAGTTTCGGAAAGGAATGAAGATGGGGGATGGGGAAAGATTGTGCACGTTAGACAAAACATATGGACAATAGTATTAAGACGGACTTGGCAGTTGATGAAAATAATGTAACTACATACTACTACTCCGTATAATCCCTGAAGCGAGTAGCAGCAGCAGCGGCAGCAACTTCCTCGCTCTTCATTGATATTTCGGTTTTAGCGCTGTGATAGGGAAGAGGAGTTCTACTAATGTCGCCATCCAAGTATTTGCCTACGTACCCTATCTAGTTACTTGCTGGACAGACAAGGACATCTAGTACATGCATACATCGCACTTGCATGGGTTACTAGTACCTAGCACACGGAATACGCTCAGATCGGATTTCCTGATGGCGATGGGCAAGCAGGAATACAAACAGACGAACTTACCCAAGGGAGTAGGAGTATTTAGTATCCAGTTAACGAAATAGGATGTCCACAGTGAACTGTTCACACCTTGTAGCGCCACTGAGATAATCGCACCTTTTTATTATTACTATGTATTGATCTTTCAGCTTCTCACTCCAGTCTTCTTCCTTCAACCCCCTCTCTAGCTGTTCGACGCAGCCTCCCTGCGCCCGAGACGGGTAATCACTCCAGATCCCGGGCCCTTGGCACCATCTGTCAAGACAACCTTAAGAGCGAACATTATTATCATCGAATAAAGAGAGGAGAGAATAATGGGTACAGGAAAAGAAAAGATGAAAGGAATAAAGAAAAATAAGAGAATGGCCTTATTCAGAATAACAACAACAACAACAACAATAAACTAAAAATACAAATAACATCAGCGAATCACATTCTCATCATTTTCTCTTCGATTTTATGATTGAGTGAAAAAAAAACATTTTCTACACAATTTCTCATTCTTTTCGATTTCTCTCCCAGGGAAAAAGAATCCCCCCATCTTCTTCACTTCCCCCCTCTCCTCTGTGCATGCCCTTCTGAATACCGCCGGAGCAAATGACGGTCGTCTGTAGTTTGTGGCTACTGTATCCACTCCCACCCATGATCGTCGGTTTTCTTAGTTTGGTCTACTTTGGCCCCCCCCCCCTCACCCATCCCTCTTTTTTCCCCCCCGTCCCCGCCCCCCCTGTTCTTGTCATTTACCCATGGGTAGGCAGGCTAGGTTGACTTAGTAACTATGGATGGCGTTAGTATGGGACAGCTGACGGACGGCAACTGCCAGTGCCAGTGTGTGCGCGTGCGTGAGGAGGACCAGCCAGTTTCAGAGAGGAAAAAGAAGAAGAGATCTTGTGCCTGCCGGGCCCTCTGACTCGATGTTTCTTTTTTTGTAAGTTGTTTCTTACGGGGTTGTTTCAAGGTAGGGATATAATACTACTGTATAACATGTCGCTAATTTTTTATTATTATTATATTATTATTTTTTGTTTTTGTTACGCCCTTCTAAACTTCTTCTTCTTCTGACCGCGAATGGCATCACTAAATGTACAGCTTGTCTTGCAGGATCTATCTCGGAGTTGGACGTGCATGATCCAGTAGTTTTGTTATTGTCTCCCAGGAAAGGGAAAGGGTTAGTGTACCTAACTTACTAGTAGTAGTGGGAGGGAAAAAGTGAGAAAGGAAAAGAAAAGAAGAATAGGGAAATAATCGGAAAGCAAAAAAAAAAAAAAAGAGGCAAAAAAAAGGAAAGA